TCGCTATCTCAGGTTAAAAAAGGAACCTTTTTGCCTATCTTATCCGGTTTAGGAGGAAGATCTTTTAAATAACTAATCCCTCCTTTGGGAGGTTTAATTTCAATATCTCCCCCTAATTTTAACTTCTCATTCAGTTCATTAATAATTTTCTCAAATACCTTGTTTTCATCTACTCGAATATGAAAATAAGCCTTGTTTAGTTCTTCGCTAGCATAATACCGGCAAAAAGGTTGCCGTAAAACGCGACCAATTATCTGTTCTACTGCGACTTCACTTCCAATAGTTTTATCTATATAAGCTAAGTAGACCATGGGGTCATCTCAACCTTCCGCCAGTGATTTATTGAAAATAATATGTTGATAATTCCCTTGGATAAATTTCTCATAAGTGTTTTCAGAAGGGCTAGATTTCCCCTTATTAAATAAATTGAGAGTAAATTCAATATCGAGAGCATATTTTTCCTCTTTTGCCACTGCTACATCAGCATAAATAGCAATAGTAGAGGGGTCAACTCCTTTTCGTTTAACTAGATGTCGCCAAATTAAAATAGGAGGAGCGTTCCTTAATTCAAAAGGAACTTGGGGATTATCTCTTTTGCTTCCTTTAGTTTTGGTAGATGATAATTCCAACAAATTAGTCTTACAAACATAGATAATTTTAGGAGTAGGCAAACCTTCTTTTTCCGCGGCCTTTTTTAATTCCATCCAGTCTTTATCCAACATTTCATTCAAAACCTCCTCCATTTGCGATTTATAGCCTCCTAACACTACTTTTCCTTTTACCATTTTTTTCTCTTTTACTTCTGTAAAAGGAACTACATAAAGAGGTTTAAAACCATTGTCTTTTAATTCACTTTGGTAGTCGGTTAACTTAGAGGGCAAAGAAGGGGTTCCTGAGGCTAAAATTAGGGCTTGGGGCCGTAATTCTAAAATTTTTTCAACTTGGCTATCAGTCAAATTATGGGCCTCGTCATAAATAACAATTAAATCTCTTTTTTTCTTGGTTAAATAATCTTTTCTCTCTTTAATCAATTCTCAGGCCGATTTGTCTCCTTTGTCAGGTTGGGCTTGATAAATTAGACGAGTTTCTTTATTTTGGACGCTAAATTTTTGAATAGTGTCAACGTAAATTAGCGGTGTGTCTAGCTGGGTAATATCGCTCGGAGAAATACCTAAAAAAGATTTTACTTGAGCCAAAGGAACTAGACTTTTATATTTCTCTTTTAAATTATGGTAAGTTTGCTGAACTACTACCTTATTACAACTTAACCAAAAAATAAGGGGCTGAATTTCGGGATAATAAGTTAAAAGATTGCTGACAGTTTGGGCAAGAATGGCGGTTTTTCCACTGCCGGTAACGCTCGATAATAATTTCAGAAAAGGTATAGTTTGGCCTTTGATTTTAAGCGAATTTTTTCGGTAATCAAGATATTTTTCGGTTAATTGATCGGCCGCTTGGCGTTGGTAATCATGTAAGTTAAAAGAGGTTATTTGACTCATGAGGGCTTAATTTTGCGAGTTTTTAGCCCGGCTTCGGGACTAATTCCAAACTCTAATAGTAAATGGTCGGGGATTTTATGGAAGCTAACTGGACGAGGGGAATAGACTTGGGTGCGAGCGTAAATGTGATAAATAGGGGTTAATTTATTATCTTTACCTTCTAATGCACATTGCCGGTAAACTTTTTCGGTGATTTGACTTTCCCGTTTTTTTTCTCCATTTCAGATTAAATAAATTCCTTCGTTTTGACTATTTTTGGCAATTAGATAATTACCAGATAAAGGAATTGTATCTAATTGAGTAGATAAAATAGCCTCAATTAACTCTTCCCGTTCCATTTCTAAAATAGTTTGGGAGTCGATTTGTTTAGTTAGTTTGAGATATTTAAAATCTCCTGGTAAGGGTTCATGGGGCTTGCCGTCGGCTCATTTACCGGTAATAGTTGCTTTTAAGCGAGGATAGAGTAAAGTTTTAGCAAAGGTGTCTCCGTTTTTAGGGTTGCCTTGCTCTATTAGGATAAAAGAACGATTAGTATTATTTTCTTTATTTAATTGTAAAACTGCATGTCCTGTGGTTCCAGAGCCAGCAAAAGGGTCTAAAACTAGACCGTTGGGAGGACACCATAGTTGAATAATTTTAGTAAAGAGTTTAAGAGGCTTAACGCCGATAAATCTTTCCTCTTTCACTCCACAAATAGCTTCTAACTCTCATTTACCTGCCTGACTGTGTCCAGAAATTTCATAGCCCCAATTAAAGTTTTCCCGCCAAAAGGTGGTGGAAGTTTGTCCCGGAATTTCTTTTAAATATCTTTTTCTTCGTGGAGTTCCCTTGCCCTCTTTTAGAAAAAACAATTCTGGTCACGCTCGCTCTCCTTTTAATCCTTGTTGATATCGTTGCTGGGCAGTTTTTTTAGTTTCTGCAAGCACTTTTTTGTCTTGGTATCCACCTTTTAACACCAGAGCCTTAGAGAATCCATCATTTAAATCTCTTTCTTCATATTTACTTCCCCATTCTTCTAAAAGAGACTTAATTTCGGCCTTTTTTATCCCCCATCCACGTGCACGTGGAGGATAAAAAAGGCCGCCAGTGAACGGATTTTGGAGAGCATAAATATTTTTTCTGGATCTTCCGCTTGGAGCATGCAAAGGCATATCCCTCCACTCTCCTTTTGGATCAGCATCCGGATTTCTATACCCCTTTAGGGCTTGGTGTTGATGCTTTAATTTACTAGTGGTTGCCTGTTCTAAATTACGAGCGTAAACTAGCACATATTCAGTAGCGGTAGAAACATGTTTACTTTGGCTTTTAGGAGAATAAGTTTTCTGCCAATTAATAATCGCAATTCTATTTTCCTCACCAAAAATTTCATCCAACATTTTCCCAAGATTGAATAATTCCCTCTCATCAATACAAATGGCTAACACTCCACTATCTTTTAACATTTCTTTCATCAAAATTAATCGAGGCAACATAAATTTCATTCATTTGGTATGCTTGGCAGGGTCATCGGATTTAATTAAATCTCCCAACTCTTCATCATTAGGCAGTTTAGTCTGTTTATCATTATAACGGAAATCTTTACCAGTATTATAAGGAGGATCAGTTAAAATTAAATCTACTTTATTCCGGTATTGATAAAGAGAAGCGAGAGCATGTAAATTATCACCTTCGAGAACGAGATTAGAAGAATTATTAGAACTAAAAGAATAACGAGGCAACTCCTTTAATATACGAGGATTAATTTTGCGAATTATCTGTCTAGCAATATCTTTATCCGGGAAAATTATTTTAATACCTCCCCCTTCGGTAATGGCTTCTAATTGAGCCTTTAAGCGAGAGTTTTCGGCTAGTAATTTTTCCCAAGAAGTAGATTGAGACATATGTTAATTTTTAAGTTAAAGTCTAAAAAAAATATATGTCTAACTCCCTTTCTGAACTAAAAATACCAGGAATTTATAATGTAGCAAAAATTAATTGTGAGTTAACTGAAATTCACTCACAACATGATGAATGATGTGAAAGGAAAGTCCAAGTAATCATGAATACTAAACCTGAACCTTTAAGTATTACTGCTAATTACTTGAAAAAAAATGGTTGACCTGCTCATATTCAACTAGTAATAATTGAGAAATTATTACCGGAGGCTTTTGCTAATTGGTTGGAGTATATGAGAAAAGAGGAAAAGAGAGTAGGAATATTATTTCCGGCAATGGTGAAGTTTTCTTTTTCTCCTCATATGAGCGAATATGTTGATTATGGGTGAGACAAAAAATATTTTTGGGAGGAAATTAGACCAATTTTACCTAGCAAGGAGGGGAAGAAAAAGTAAATTTCCTCTTTTTTTCTTAATAATTGCTTTTTAGGTTCTTTAATGTAAATAATATGTATAAAATAAATATATATGATATAAATCGTATATAATGATTATTTATGACAGTAATAGCCTTTATCTCCCAAAAAGGGGGCGTAGGAAAATCTACTTTAGCCCGTGCTTTGGCTGTCGAGACCAGCAAAGGAAAATTGAAAGTCCTTTTAGCCGATTGCGACCCTCAGCAAAGAACTAGTGATAATTGAAACCGATTAAGAAATAATTCTGATCTAAGCAGTAAAGTATTTTCCGATCTTCCTCCCTTATGAAATGTGGCTAATGATTATGATGTAGTAATTATTGACGGACCTGCTCGCACGAGTAGGAGCACTTTAGAAATTGCCAGACAGGCTAATTTACTAATCCAACCTACTAATGCTGGAGTTGACGATTTGGAGCCGGCTATTAAAGAGTTTCATGGTCTAGTTCAAGCCGGAATTAAGAAAGATAAATTAATCTTAGTTCTTAATCATATCGGCTCCACTAATGAGGAACAAGTAGCTCGCCAATATATTCAAAAAGCCGGTTATGAAGTTTTAACTACCGGTTTAGAAGAAAAAGTTAGTTATCGGCAAGGACAAAATGAAGGTAAAGCCATTACTGAAGTCAGTTATCCTCGTTTACAAAAACAAGCCAAAAAGTTGATTGAAGAAATAATCGATCGAGTTATTAAATAATAACAAATATGAATATTAATAGTAAATTAGATAAATTAAAAAATAAAAAAAAGGGCAACCTGCCCCCCCCCCCCCCCCCCCCCCCCGCCCCCCGCCCCCCCCCCGCCCCCCCCCCGCCCCCCCCCCCCACCCCCCCCCACCGCCCGTCCCCTCGACCC